TGGTACAATTCTTGCCTGGTATTTTCCAACCATTTTTTGGGAGAAAGTACTTATTCCCGAAATTTTGGGTTTTAACATTCTCTTAGTGTACTTTTACGTGAGAATTTATATTGCTAATTTAAATTCTTCAAAAAATATTCGCCAAACAGAAGGAATCAATCAGGGCGCAGATGAAGCCTCGTGGAACAAGGTCAAGGAGCGGCGTAAAGCAATGTTGAATGTCAGCTTGGCGAAGTCATGTTTTCTGGCCGTGATGTCTTATGTTATTTGTTATTTACCGTCATCAACAACTGCAATGTTTAAGCCGGGTTTTAGCAGCGATGTGCGGGTATTGCTTGATACTTGGCTTACAACACTCGTTTCACTCAACTCCAGTTTGAACTCGATTGTGTTTTTCTGGAGAAGTAAACCTTTAAGAAAAGAAGTTTTTGCTATTATCAGTATCATATTTCACAAAAAAGAAAGACAAAGAGCTAGTAATGGTGGTATCTCAGGCAGAAAGGTTGGCGCGAATGCCACATAAAGATAACATGATAATGCATGGGTGTAGACTGTAGAAGTCACTATAGTAACTATGGTAACACTTGGTATTTTGATAAGAGGCCTATATAAAACAAATGAGGGAAAATTTTCGTTCGATTGAAAAATTCAGCCCTTCCTCAAAAGGAAAACACAACAAGGGGAGACTATTTGCAAGTAATAAGATGACAAATTATTAATTTCGAAATTTAACAGCGGTGTGCATGGTATTTGTACTGCCACTGTCCAAATGGAATTTGAAAACAAATAATTGCGTTATGCACAGGTGCAAGTGAAATTACTAAAATTTTCAAAGCTCAAAATATTAATTCTTTTATTAAAGTATTGACATTATCCAGTAAACATCCTTTTCGAAAATAATAGTTGAAATTAATTATTTTTGTTATTTACCGTCTTCAATAACTGGAATATTCAGGGAGAGTTTTAGAAAAGACTTATATAAGTGTCGGCTAATATTTGGCTTACAAAACTCGTTTTACCGTGTAAATAAAGTGTAAATACATGCGATGTAAATAAAGCTAGATTCTTTACGAACCATCTCTGAAGTGGGCGTTTGCCGATGCCTTCCAAAAACGCGCAGAAATTGGAGCTGTAAGGTACCTAAAGGCCCGCGCGCACACTAGAGCTATGTGCTTAGCAAAAAGTCATTCGTAGCCATCGGCGTAAGCCAGTTGCTCTCGTGTGCGGGTGACTTTTCCGGCGACTTTTGGCACGAATGACGAAAGTCACTGGAAAAGTCGCCCGCACACGAGAGCAACTGGCTTACGCTAATGGCCACGAATGACGTTTTGCTAAGCACATAGCTCTAGTGTGCGCCGGCCTTAATATGCTGGGAGTACATACTTTCTTATAAAATTTCAAAACCATTCCAAAAGTGTAGCAAAGGTAGCAATCGCTGTGTTTTCAAAATCGACCAACTCAGATATGAAACTGAAAAATTTTGAACTTCAGTGCATTATTGTTGTCTTACCCCCCCCCCCCCCTAGCCAAGCTGTGTGCAAATTAAAAGTTTGCAACAGTTTTAACATGCTGCAAATCTAATGCAAATCTAAGTTTTCATGATTTCATGCTAGTTATAAATTTTTGTCGATACTCTATAATTTTATGGATGGTGACCGAATAAGACTAACCTGCTACGAAGTGTCAAGTGTGCTGCTGTGCATAAAAAAAAATAACTAACTTATCGTAACCAAAAATCGCAATTTAACTCGATTTGTGATAGAGCACGTCAGCTTCAGACATCTTAAATGTTTCGATAAGACAATGATCTAAATGGATAGCAACCGATGTGCTTTTTGTAATTGCAAAATCAGTAATTATGATCCGTAATTTCATGAGTGCCTCGTAAAGAATATTACAATTCTCAGTCAACATTTGTAGAAGAATATTATTTCTTCATATAGCTAACAGAATATTTACGAAGGAAATAAGATATTTATGGAATGCGATTTATAAAATCAGACTATCATTCTCTGCGCAAGGCGTTGCGGTTAGGATGTGTGTCTATATATAGCCAGCTAATTAGATACTGAAGTATGATGCTGGCCGGCTTGGCAGACATTATCTAAAACAGCTAGCGACAGGTATAATTGCGTTCACGCAATAGGGCAAAAGTGGTCAATTGCCAACAGCCGTCGATCGTCAGTATTAGTTTAAGCTTTGTCGCAAAGACATGTATAACCACAATATTCACTAGCTCTTATGCAACACATCCCCCCCTGCTCGGTACGCCCCGTCAACCCAATTTCTCCAAACAATAACAGTCGTAAGTAGCTGCTTTCCACCAGCGGTTGCGTTTTTGCACGTAGCTATACGTATATGCACGTAAATGTTTAAAATCATTTAAATTATACTCATGCAATCGACGATTGAATAAATGCATATGGTTGCCGGCATAGTTATCGCGTAGTTTATATAGGCCTATGCCACGACACACGACGATTGCCAAACTTATTCGTCAATACACGTACGAAAAGAGCCTAGGAATGTTTACCACGAGCCTAGAACGTTCGGCTTAGAGATGGTCACGTCCAAATAGCTTCGACGGCGATTTGCAGAGGATTTATTCTGAATCTTCGATTTCGATCTCTATAAGCATTGTGAAATCTTGTCAAGCAACCTAGCAAGCTAGCCAGTAGGTTGCTTGTCAAGATGCTAAAACTTTTTATCAAGAGTGGAGCCGGTGACTTATATCAAACTTTGAAAGTGGTGAGAAAACGCGTTCGCTTTAATGAAGTGCCCGACCTTTTTCCTAATTCCAGCCTGATCTCCTGCCCATCTTTAATTTAAGCAGGTCTCAAACGCATAAAAGAATTGCTAATGAATTGATAGAACATATTCTACAGTGGAATTTGCTATTCATGTTTATATCGTCTTCGATCCAATGCTTAATTTATAATGATTATTGAACTTCCTCACGTGTTACTTCATGTAGAACACTCCTACGCATTCACCAACACCAATTTACAATGTAAAGCTCTTTGTTCTCGTGTGTTCAAATGTCACGATTTTTTGCCAGGAATGCAAACTGTATCTACAGTCTGGAGCAACTGTCATTTATAGAGAAACTACACAGTCAGAGGCAACTGTCATTTATAGAGGAACTATACAGTTAGGGGCAACTATCATTTCATATAGAGGACGAAGGACAGAATATCAATTCAAGTGTGTAGACAAACTCACTTTATCGGGATTTTCTTTTGTATATTATACATTTTTATACAGTTTTACATCAAATGCTATAAAGGTATGTTTTGTACATTTATTATTGCATGCAAGCCTGAATATAACAGTCTCTCCCCTATATTGCCAAGAAGTTCACAATAGCATGCAGGAGCGTTTATTCCACTTTCACGAAAGCCACCCGAACATATAATATACTGCCAGTCTCACGCGAATTACCTGAGAGGTAACCGCAAATACCACCCCTTTCACCCCTTTTATATTCCGTATTCTAAATTTTACTCAATATTAATATATCAGGTACAAGTATATAGGTTTCCAGTGCAGAATTTTGCAGTTTAAATCTTGGATCTGTGATTGAGTACTTAAGCTGGATGAGAGTTGCAATTCTCGCTAGCGTTTGACCGGAACTCTCATCAACTCTCATCGACTGAGAGTTCGTGTTCGATTGTTCGGTCGGTAATGGGAGTTGACGAGAGTTGATTAGAGCAAAACAGCTAGCGGTTTGTATTTCGTAGTATATAGCAGGCTCAGCAATATAGTATAAAATACGGAAATAAAAAATAGTTCAAAATATAGTCCCTGCATGCTTCGCGCGCAATAACATTCGGTCAATTCTCGCTTCTCAACTTTCATCAACTCTCATCCTCCTTTGACCAACGCACAAGAGTTTGTAAAACTCTGGGTGCAAACTTTCGCTTCTCAACTCGTTTCACCGGGGCAGTAAAATAGAAAATATGCTAAATACTTTTATTGAATCTGATAAGAAAAAAAAATGTTAAATTTAAATATATCAAATATAATATACGTGCATGCAGTAACTTGTTTAGAAAGGCTGTAACATCATTGAAAAGAATACAAAAAAAAGTTTTTGGCTCAGGTAGTTGATGGACTACAGTTATTAAACCGAAACTGCATGTATGAAATTTCTGCTATGATAGCTTGGCGTCATGTACTAAGTACCTAAGCAAACGATTCAGCCTGGTTAATGGCAAATAGAATCGCCTGAATCGGTAATACGAGAGCCTGACGGATGTTTCGATCCTTGTGGCTTTGACAAAACGCAAACGCAAAATTGCAAAATGACCTTGCCATCAATTTCCATCTGAATATATATTGACATCAATAATACGTATACGCACGCATGAAAGGTTATTGCAAAATTAAGGTTTAATTGACTGGTATTTTTATTCTTATGGAAAACCTGATATCAATGTATTTAATTTAAATAATTTTTTTTTAATATAGATGCATGTGCTACAATTGAAGACTCAAAAACGTTGTTATATGTTAAGCAAATTCCCCTCGAATGTAATTAACACATACATGCATGCAAGATCGCAAGACATCAATTCACTATTATCGATCATTGCGGGGAAAATAGCGTCCCCTCTTTACCAAATTCCCGATTTACTTTACTTTCATTTTGAATTCAGATGAATGTCACATGTGATGACCCAGCTACATTGCCAAACGTCGTTGCAAATAACCTGATATTTGGCATATTCAACATAGTGCTTGCAATTGCAACGATATGTCTTAACCTCGCAACGATTGTCACTTACCTCAAGTCGAAACTTCTGAAAGGCAGGATGGCGTATTTTATGATTATGATGCTGTCATTTAACGATCTAATGGTTGGCTTAGTATCCAATGTGCTTTATGCAGCGGTATTGTTCACACGGTATAGTTCAGAGAGAACTGAACACCATATAGGTACCGCCCAATATTTTTTTCTGCTTTTCTTTTCGGGATGTTCATTTAAAACTCTGATTGTCATGAGTTGGGAACGCTATGCGGCGATATGTCACCCACTGTTTCATCGAGCAAAAGTCACTCGGAAACGACTAATGAAATGTCTCATTTTTTTCTGGCTGCTTGCATTAATTGCTACGATCCTATCCTGGCGTTTCCAAGCTTTCTTCACCTATGTAGTTACACCCGAACTTCTGGTTTTCCACATTCTGTTAGTGTACTTTTACGTGAGAATTTACCTTGCTAATTTAAATTCTTCCAAAAGCATTCGTTCGAAAGAAGGAATCAATCGGGAGGCAGATTTAGCGTCGTGGAACGGTCGGCGACGTAAGGGCATGATGAATGTCAACCTGGCAAAGTCTTGCTTTTTTGCCGTGATATCTTTCGTTATTTGTTATTTACCCACCTCAATAGCTATGACGATGAAGACGAATTTTAGAAAAGACGTGCAAGTATTGATTGATATTTGGGCTACAACCCTAATTCTATTGAACTCGAGTTTGAACTCGATTGTGTTTTTCTGGAGAAGCAAACCTTTAAGAAAAGAAGTTTGTGCTGTTATCAGAATTGTATTTTGTCAAAAAAAAGCGATGAAGGTTGACAATGGCAGTATGCATAGCTCGTCTGCTGGTGCAACTAACACCTAAAGAAAATAATACAAAAAGTCAAGCATGCATTGACGTGTAAATATGTAACTGAGGTAATTAAAAAGTCTTAAAAAGTTTTATCTACATCGTTGAACCTGGGTGCCTTCAGGTTGATTCTGTTTATTGTTTACGGTCACCAAATCCTCAAATTGTTAGTTCATGTTGACAATAGTCACCTATATGCTAATACATAAATATCATACTTGTACATGCCCGCGCGCACTTTTCAGCGGCAATTCGCACGCATGAGTTGCAAAGGAGAGAGAAATTTCGTAAAATTATTTTGTTTTGAAAACGGCTGCTGCTCGCTTCGCTCTCTCTTTAATAGAGCACATTGGGAAAATGGTGAAATATAAATGTTGTCAAAATACAAATAAGAGTACAAAAGTAGCACTGAAGCAGGTTTTCTTTGCTCTTAGTGAAAAAAGCCAGTAAAGTAAACTGATTGGGATTGGTAAAATTTGTGTTTGCTTTGCCTCTGACCGTTCGTCTTGCATGCAGAATGAGAAATCAAGAATTATTGAATTTCGCTTCAAAAAAGATTGACAAAATTATTTAGACCTCGGTGGACAATGTTGACCCGGGTCTGATATCCCGCTTAACCTAACCCAATAATTCTTAAATATTCAGCATATTTTAAAAATTAATTTTTAATTTTTAGCATTTAAAAGTGTGGATAATGAAATACCCTAATACCGGTTATTACGATCTCTATCGGACATACAAGCAGCCAATCAGCTTGCGTTATCCGCCGTTGAGATAATATTAATAGAGTCCATTATATATATGTTTGCAGATACAATCTAGGAAATCTGAAAGAAGCAGTTTGGTGATTGAAATTGGATTATTCAGGAGTTGTCAGTAAATCCTATATCCTGTTCTTCCTATACGCGACGCCATCATTTGGCGTCTAACTGTCAGGCGATAACATCATGAACATGAGATTACCCGGCCGTGCCAATTAACGCTCACGTCAGGCCATTTTCTTTTACTTTCTTGCTATATTTGTTCGTGCAGAAATGTCTTACACAGATACAGGGTTTCCACAATGCAAGGAAATGTCCTTGGATATATCAGGATATATTATTCATATTTTTCAAAATATCTTTGCTTCTGTTTTTTGTCCTTGCTATCCCCCAGTCATAGGACAGTCATAAGGCAAGCAAATAAGTTGTGAAACCCTGCACAAATAAGCGCAGCGTCAGCGATATATTCTTTTCTACCAGTTCCAAGAACACATATCCGCGATATCTTAATGGTTGGTTTTTCCTAAATATGGGTACTACACGTGCCAGTATTCAAAGCAACAAAACCTCACGGCATAAAATTTGACCTTATTTCAAAGCCTTGAAATGCTTCATTTAATAGAATGTTGACATAGTTTGAACAGCTTATTCGAAAAATTAATTTTTGGCCATACAGTTGACATGCAAGTTTTGGTCGAGAGTTAAGCAAAGAGACGACCTACTCAGGAAACAGAGCTATTAGCTTCGGCTTGAATGTTTATGTATAATTATTGAATAAAAGTGACATATTGCAATATGTCACTTTTATATAATATAGCTACATGCATAAACATTCAAGCCGAAGCTAATATCTCTGTTTCCTGGGCAACTCGTCTCTTTGCTTAACTCTCGACCAAAACTTAGTTTATAATTTGTTTTCTAGAAACTTTTTTATATCTTTTTCGAATAAAAACGTTAGCAGCGGCTAAAGCCATGCAGCTGGATTACTTGGTTCTGCTTTACATACAAATCAAATTTAATATAACGTTATAATCTTTCATTTCCTCAGAAATTAATTGTTTTCACGGACAATATAAACACCAAAATATTTACACAGCGATGCAAAATCGTCGACGTCAGGCTAGCTACATGCCCTGCGAACGAATTTATAAGGTATTGTATACGAGTACAAAATTTGTCCCAGCTTCTTCCGAGTCAAGTGCATGTCTATCATTTGCTTAGCCAAAATTAAGGTAAGATTTTTTGAACATATTGTAATTGCGTAAAAATACAACTGTTATATAGCGAATTTGCATGCGTGGCAATTTGATAAATATTGTCATTGAGGCATAGCATACTCCAGTCATTGCCTCAATTAATCATTGACATTGCATGGAATTATATGTTCCAAATGGAAGATATGCTTAGTTGAACCCATACATAGGCAAAATCTTAACGTTTCGTGTTGAATCTTCATACGTTCTAGTTTTGTATTTGCATGCATTTTGCGACAATTAATGTATATATAGCATATTGCGACAGCTAATGTAGAATATTGCGACCACTAATGTAGCGTATTGCAACAACTAATATGTAATTGCATTAAATTGCACAAACTTACTCAAATTGCAGGCGAATAATAAAGATTTGGGCAAAAAAGGTGGGGTAGGTAAAAATATAGGCAACAATGAATTATTCATATTCAGCACATTGGGACAATTCGGCAAGGAAATTTTCAAATCATCAAATGATGACGAATGACCAATACACATTGTGGAGGCATTGAGGAAAAACGCGTGGTCAGCTTAATTTTTACTATGAACTTTATATTTCAATGATTTTGCATGGTTAACGAAAATACAAAATGGCATATTTTATGATTATGATGCTGTCCGGTATAACGATTTTTCAGTTGACTTAACGATAACAAAGAAAAACGTTAGAAGAGACGTTAAAGTAGTGACAGTCAGGCACAGCACCTGTTACACAGAAAGAGTGATATCTAGAAAATTTGATCAATTTAAAAACTGTAATCTGAGTAATGAATTGCAAATGTGAAATTTTTCTTGCATTTATGCCAACGTACATTCAAGCATGCATAAAGTTCGCCCGAGTACTTTAGGGCACTTTTTCAAAGACATTCATCACTGCTTTTTTCATTTCCCAATCGCCATTTCCCAATTGAGCAGGGTACTGGGTCTAGTCGCGAACCGCAAAGCATCTATGGACTGTTTGGAGGGACTAATGATTTCAGACTTTATTTTCCTGTCCCTCCAAACAGTCCATAGATCCTTTGCGGTTAGCGACTAGACCCAGTACCCTGCTCGATTGGGGAATGGCTAATTGATCAATAATGATGGTCAATTATTTCAAAACTCCAAAAGCTTCAGTTATTAAATATTGACATTTGGTAATAAGAAGCCGTTTCGATCGATTTGAAAATTAATTATTTTAGCAACACAGTTGCAAAGCAATATGTCGTAGTTTATACAACATTTAGACATCATAAACCGGCTGAAGATAATACGTGCAATTTCCTATGGAGAAGTCATATACAATCGGCTTTTTCTGAAGTGTGAAAAAACCTTCTGTCGTGTATTTCTACATAGTTTACGCTTACAAATGGCTTGCCTGGAACAAACGAATTCTGACTTCTAATATATAATATTTGCTATTGTTAATTATATACAGTTCCTTAGAAATTTATTGTTTTTACAGTCAATGAACATTATAGAGTATACCTACATTAGTGTATACATTAGTATAGCGCAGGACTTAATCAAAAGGCTGCCTATGTAATAATTATATATAGATATAGCCTACGCTACAAGTATAATTAACTGCATGTAAACGTTAAAATAGTGACTCAGCTCCTTCGATCAGTCAAGTGCATGCACAGTTTCCTTTGGTTTAACGAATACTTTTTTGAAAGGTAAGGTTGTTCATGCAGTTTATATTTCCTGCGTAGAATTGTATAAGCAAGTTTGTGTGCGGCTAAAGTTTGTGCAAAGTCAGAAGACAGGCAGCGAAATGTCCGTTTGAAAAGAAAAAGGTGTATTTGACCGACAAAAGGTGTGTTTGACCAGCAAAGGTGCGCGCGGCTTGAACGGTAAATATAAACCTAAATAAATATAACGCGGCAGTAACGTAGCCAGCCTGACGATTTGTCCAGCTTTGCTAATATTTCGGTGTCCATTTACTGTGACAACAATGAATTTCTAATGACATGAATAATTATAATAACTCGAGATTTACACATGCAGCGGGACAATGGATATGAATATGAATATGAATTTAAGGAAAAGAAACGGAGCAAACAATTAATAAAGAACTCTAATTTTACAATAATGATGTTCAATTTAGGTTTACGCGTACGCGAATTGCTATTAATGTTCTGCGTTAGTGCCTTTTTAGGCTGAAAATCCCGTGACTATTCTCGATCTCGTCAGTCAAAGAAAGAAAATCTCACCAAAAATCATAGCAACAGTGACCTTTAAAGGACTTTAAATACCCTTTTCTATATGCTTTGGATAACCTTACCATGCTCTCGTGCAGTCGGATTCAAAGCTTGATGAACTAGTAAATAAAATTTCTAAAATGTCGACTGTCACTTGATTATCAGCACGTGAAAGCCATAAATAAAAACACTCGATGATAAATTGTCCAAACCGGTCTGAATTAAGTAACCCCTTATACCTAATAATTATATATAGCGGAAATATTAAGACAATTTCTTATACTCGCCGAATCATGCAAGATTACAAGACATAAATTAAAAGGCTTGACACCGTTACTTGTGCATCCTTCCGGAAAAAACACGACTCTTCTGTTCGAATGATACCATTATTCCATTTTTAGATGAATTCCACACTCGATGACCCAGCCTCTTCGCCAAACGTCGTTGCAAATAATCTGGCATTTGGTATATTCAATATTGGTTTGGCAATTGCAACAATATGTCTTAACCTCGCAACGATTACTGCTTACATCAAGTCGGAACTTCTTAAAGGCAAGATGGCGTATTTTATGATTATGATGCTGTCAGTTAACGATTTTCTGGTTGGCTTGGTATCCAATGTACTTTATGCTGCAGTATTGTTGAAAGAATATACTTCAAAGGAAACTGAACACTATCTACGAATTTTCCATTTTTGTTTTCTACTTTTCTTTTCGGGATGTTCATTTAAAACTTTGGTTGTCATGAGTTGGGAACGCTATGCGGCGATATGTCACCCGCTGTTTCATCGCACAAAAGTCACATCGAAACAACTAATA